AACCTTTGATTGTTCCGTGGAATGCCCACCCCAAAGCACCCCCAAATCTCTCTATCAGGCCTCACGCTCCTACATCAGCGGGTTACATGGCAACACCCACTGGCAGTACCGGCCAGCGTCGTTCTGGCTTCGAACAACCGCAAATCACTGAGTATAACAACCTCAAGCCACCTCAAACAAGTTACTAGAGGTCCCCAGGGTCAAGAGAAATTTAGACAACCTAAAATACCACCCACCATCCAACTCCTTCCGCACAACACAAAGGAAAGATTAATGCCCAGGCGTCAGTCCTCGTACTAGAACGCACCAAATCTCATACCCCTTTTTGCTAGAGTATCAAGGCAACACCACCTACCCCAGTACCGAACAAGCTTGTTCTGACGGATAGGAAGTGTCTTCCCCCCTCGACACCTTCCTTAACTGCATAACCCCCAAATTACAGGGACACTGCCCCGACTACAGCTACGTTCGGCAAGGTAGTTATGCTTTCCACCCTCAGCAAGTTCCAATAGTCTCAAGCTCCTTTGGTTATAGAGCATCTACTCCAGCACCGACCATCGTCACCCCACCCTGCCCTTCTATAAACCTACCACCCTGGACATCGATCCATCCACTGCACCGTGCACCACCCTGCTAAAACCAACCTCCTCCTACTTACCGAATAACCTTTTTGAGCATTCAGAGATTTTCAAAAACACTCGGAACATACAAAAGTCAAACAAACTTTGCAGCTTAAACAAAAAAATTAAGGCTTAGAAACGTGAATTTTCTAAATGCTTCAAAAACTTTTAGAACTTTCAATTCAAGAAACAGTTGGGAAGTCTATCGACCCCCACTTATAGAAATTACCTTTTTAGACCAAATTACGATACTATCTAAGATGTCCACAATTGGACTTACGATTATGTAGAATCAAGAATTTATGAGAAATTTCATCGGAAATTACTTCGACAGAATACTTTTGAAGATAGAATTAAGATAAAATGAGGAACCAAATTAAGGAATTTATCAAAAGCAACTATTAAAACATGGAATTTAAAAATAAAATTCAAAAAATCTATGTAAAATATCCCGAAAAGGACTCACGATCCAAAATTAGGAGAAATTAAAACACGATCGTACAACACTAATGATGGTTTGACGATTCGACGATCCCACAGATGAAGGATGGCAATACTAATACTAACGGGTGATGATGACGGTAATAAAAATGATGCTCACCTCGCCGTCCATCGCCACACTCTACCATCCCTCATCTCACGTTATCGCCCGATATGTCACATAACATCTCCACACCCCATCTGCGGGCCCATCGCGGCAAGGCTCGGCCAACCACATTGGCCCCCCGACACAAGGAAATCCTATCATGAAATTTGAATTAAGATTGAAAATTAAAACGTAGAGCATACCGATTACAAGTTAAACATACCACAAAAGATTAACCAGTATGACTCCAACAACCAGACGATCACTCAAAAATACTAACAGAGGGTCTACATATTGCCTTTCATCCTTAAAAACCTTACAATTTCTGTCACGCCATGCCACATCCTTTCTCCCTCCCAACCTCCACCTCCTCCCTTATCGGCTCGTAAGCAACTCAACCATCTCGTGGCCTTCAAACTCTCGCGACCATCTGTCATAAGGCTGAACGATGAAGATAATCGGACCGTAGTGTAAAACTTACCTTGTCTCAGCCACGTAGCAAGACACAACTACCAAACTCGTCGATGGTCTCTCGTTGGCAGTCCAGAAGAAAAAAGCAACGTCCATGACGGCACTTCACCGAAAGACGATGCAGATAAACGATGCACTTCACAACCCTTTACGAGCAGCCCCTTCATAACAACAACAACCACTTCGCACGATGCATCAGCCTCATCGCCATCCCTCCCATCAGCAACCCTGAACCCAAAGCCTCGCTGTGCTAAAAAACCTCGCACCACGAACCTTCTTCTCTCGATATCACGCCGCACCACCGCCCGTTCATACCAAGCACAGCCTCTTCAACCCAAAACCTCGTACCCCCCACCACAATCCTTCTCCCTCAACATCGTACCACGATACCCTCTGCTATCCAAGACCACGCTGCGCCATCGCTTGTTACCGTGTGACGAACCACTTTTTGTAACGCGCGACTTTCTGCGCGGTTACAATGAGGGGTCCTAAGTTGGGAAGGTTGGGCCAATTACGGGAGATCGGGATCGGTGGGAAATTGCATCAGTGTCCT